CTGTGGGCTGTTTCTTTCTTCTTTGAGGCTCCTGAGCCCGGTGGGGGCCAGGGAAGATGTGGGGTTGCCCTCCTGGGTGGGGGCTGTGAGGGGATGTGGGTGCTGGGTGGGGGCTGGGAGGGGATGTGGGTGTCAGCTGGGGGGGCCCCCTGCGTTCCCATAGCAACATGGAAGAGCTGTGGGGCTGGTACAAGCAGCAGGTATGGGCAGGCCCCTCCATGGGAGGAAGGGTCTGAGGGCTGCAAGCCAAGGGGGAACAGGGTGGTCTGAAGCCACCTGTGCTCCTTGCTGTCCTGGCCAAGGCTGTGAGCTGCCCCCTTCCCCTTCCAGGCAGCTCAGAGCGGGGAGAGGCTGTGCTGCATGGGATTTCTCAAAGCAAAATACCAGCAAAGAAGGGTTGTCAGAGAGCTGCGGGTTGGTCATGCCCTCTCTGATGGAGGAGAGGGCTCCTGGGGAGCTGGAAGTGCTGGGGCACTGCAGGAGAGGAGTTTAGGTACTAGTCTGCTCCCAAAGCTATGCTAACTTCTCCCGGCTGCGTGCTTATTAAAGCGGAGCAGTTGCCAAATGTACTTAGGTTTGATTTTTCTGCCTTTATTTTGGGCCTGAAAGGGGGTTTGTGTGCCAAGAACTGTATCTGGTATTTTCCAGCTGTGTAGCAGATGCTCTAAAATCAGTTCTTGCCTGTGTCTCTGAGCTGCAGTGGCTACAGAAGAGCCCCATTAATCTTCTCACCCTTTCCGGGGGGGAATAGAGTGTACTGCCAAAGAGTAGTTAAGGAGAAAAAACAAAATGCTTTCTCCTGAAAGAAGGTCTTTTAGCAAATTCTTGTATTTTCTTTCCAAGAAACCATTTACCTGGCAAGATTATGCCATGGTTATAGCTCTACACACACAAACATGTATGTGAAGGCAAAGCGTAGTTAACAGAGTAAGAAACCACAATACACTGGGATGCAGCTGATAAGCAGGTCAAGGAAAGTTTAATACCAAGAGCGCTTGTAATGGACAGCGTATATTGGCAGGGTTAGTGGAAAAAAGGCTTTTCGGATGAGAATTCCTGGGGATTTTGAAGCTAATGGAAATATGATTTCTTTTTTTCTTCATTAGCAAGGCATTAATAAGAATAAAAAGTGGAAAGAGCAGTAACTGGAGGAATTCAAATACAATTACACCTCTGGCACAGTTGTTAGATGTGTAAAAGAAGCGACCATTAACTTTAATTCTTAGTGCAGCTTGAAATGCAAAAATAAGCATCCCTGTGGTGGATGAAACATTTAGAGCAGAGCTCTTTAGCTGTCTCAGTAAACTATCATTTTGTGATGCTAAAAATTAATAAATTGCAGAAGTGGTATCTGACTTTAATGCAGTGTAATCGCAGGCGTTTATGAAGCAGTCAATGACTGTGTTAAACAGTCATTTGCTATTTAATTCTGGTTATGGAACAAATTTTTGAGTCCAATTAGATAAGGGGTAAGACACGTTCTTAAAGCATTTCCCTTGGTAGACATTTAATTGCCTCCCAGGAACCAAAGCATCAGCCGTTCCCTTGCTAACTCACCTAACATCAGACATATAAGGAGGGTGGGTTTTTTTTTTTTTTTGAACAATAAATACCAAAAAGCAGGTAACCCTACAATGTACAAATGCAGGTTTAATTCTGTTTCCAGATTGTTCATTACTGAAAACTCCCTTCATTAAGTATAAAAATAAATAACTGTTCACCATGTCCCTCATTGGAGCACCAGTTCCTGGATCAAAAGCAGATGGAAGGAAAATGAGAGATGCCTTATGCGTGGTGTCTGGCAGCAAGGACCGCTCAGGTAGGACTCACTTTGAAGGCTGGTAGGGCTGGGCGTGTGGCTTGTTGACGGATCCTGCTGTTTTACAGCATCGCTTAGCATTTGTACACCCAACAGCTTGGCAAAGTTGTGCGATTAGTGCTTTTATCTCCCATGGTTTGAATGTAACTCTTGTTCTAGGCTTCACTGAACAGCTAAAATTGGGATTTGCTGCTTGTGTTTTAGATAGAGTTGCTCGTACTTTGGGGTGTGAATGGAGTAGGTGACTTCTCAGGGCTCTTCCCAGCCCTGTGTTTTATGATTTTTTTTTCTTTTCTTTCTCCAGCAGAATAAGCATGCACCTACTAAATAGGCTTTGATACGCTGTTTTCTAGAGTTTCCTGAGCTAAGGGGTACCTCAAGGATGCTCGACCATACGAGGCCTGTCTCTTCCTCCCTGGAGTATAGTTTTGTCCCAGAAGAGATTTTCCGAACTCTGACCTCTGCTGCCAGTTCTCTCTATAGGCCGGAGCACCTACGATCGCCCCAAACCACCAGAAAGGCGATGGGCTTCAAGGTGGGTGCGTTACTCCCTTTTTCTGCCCAGAACTGCCTACTTGTTAGGGGAGCGTGTTTTTCCTCTGGGCAAAATGAAAGTTTGCCAACTCTGCAGGAGAAACGTATCTTGTCACATCGCTTTTCTCATCACACTGTTTGCTGCAGACCCTAGTTTCTTTAGCCCCGAGACAGGAGCTGTCATGTTTAGACAAGCCACCCTCAGCTCTCCTGCTGCTCGGTGCACGGATTGCTGGGAAGTGACGACCCCGTGTGCTCCATCCACAGGGCTGCCTGCAAACCCCCGACGGGCTCTGGCATTACCCGAATCGCCGCAACAAGTTCAGGCACCTGACGGACCACCCCGTCAGCCTGACAGGAGCTGGACGGTGAGCAAGGAAGGGGTGAGGGGATGAGGGCAACAGAAAGACAAGAGCTGGGATCGCGGGGATATCACTCTGCTGTGATATCAGATGACTGGGCCGCTTGAGGCGGACAGACAAACAGAAGCGCTGTCCCGGCAGCGTTCTGGCTGGAGGGGAAAACGTTTCTTTCAGGAATAATAAATAAAAAGTCCTGCTAACTGCGCTCCTCATGGCACCATGCTTTTATAAGAGCCAGGACTCGCAGCGATATCCTGCATGATCCGGGATTAAGGAAAGAAGCTCTTCTGGCTTTAACGGGCTTAGCAGGGAAGAGCTTTACAGTCCTTTGTAAATAAGCGTTGCTTAACAACACTGGGAAGCGAAAATGTTTTGATGTTATAGAGTCTTTAACAGACGTTGGATGTGTATTCAATAGGACGATGGCAACAGACCTAAAGAATAACCTTTGGCTAGGGATAGGCAATGTGAGATTAATCTGCCTAAAACCATGATCACGCCAGTCTTTTTTTTGGCCCTGAGCAGAGTGCTTTGGCTGTAAGCCTGGCCTTGGACTGAGCAGAGCCATCTCGCACGTGGTTTTGGCGGGCAGTGAGCGAGCAGGGGGCTGCCTGCGGGCTGGCTCAGCGTACAAGCTCGTCCCTCTGTTTCAGGGACGTCTCTTACCTGTGCGACGTTGTGGCTGGCCAAGAAGATGCAAAACCGAGGACCCCCAGGAGCAATTTTTCCGAGCGTGGTCAGGAGCAAAGACGAAGCGGTGCTGCTGTCTCAGGGCTTGCCGTGAGTGATGTTGTTTCAATGTTTTTCTTCGTGGAGGGAAGAAATGGGAAGCGTCTGTAGCCCTCTCTTGATGATGCCCTGGGTTGCAACCACCTCTGACTGCTAATCCAGCAGCTTTTAGGGTAAAACTCATTGGTGGTTCTTGCAGCTCACAGCCCCCCAGCAAAGTTCATCATTAGCTATTTCAACCTGTTTTCAGATTTACATTATTTCTGTCAGGTTCTCAATGAACACAGTGGGAAATAGAAAAGCAGCCTGAAAAGCTGCTATGTAGCTTCTGCTTTCTGGGCCACCAGAAGGGCGTCCTCTTTGGGAGGAAGTGGGAGTTTGTGCACGTGGCTTATAGCAATGTGTTTCATGCTCTGCTCTCTCTTCTCTACCCCTAGCAAGCAAGCCTAGCAGACAGTCTGATTCCAGAGGAGCTTCACATTGTGAAGAACAGGGGAGTTTTGCCCTTGAAGTATTTTGATGAGTGAGTGTTTTCTGATTTATAAGGATTTGTCCTCGAGCTGTAAGGCCTCAGCTTGTATCAGCTTGGAGCAGGGGGATAAAATGATGAGAGGTCGAGACAGCAGCCAGAAACCCTTCTTGCGGGAAGGGAGAGGAGGTTATAAAAAGAGTGGTTGTGCAAATCCCACACTGGTGACTAGGCTATAAGCGTGCAGAGCAATGTGAACCTTCTTTTCCTTGCCTCAGCTGGTTTGGGGTGGTCAAAAAGAGATCACAGCTCCCTGTATGCTCTCGCTACTTCTCAAGGGTTTTTTCTGTGGTTGGACCTGAGTGTGGAAGCTGAGTTTGGTTTGATCCCTTGAGGCAATTTTTGGAAGCTGCCGCTGTGTTGTGTGTGTGGTGGTGTGTATGTACTTTTTTTTAATTAATGGTTTGGTTAGTCTCTCTACATTTCTACCTCCCTTTTATAATTGCTTTCTGCAGTAAAGCTGGGCTCATGCTGAGTAATTCTCATTCTTATTGGGGCTTGTACATACTCGCTAACGTCTTGAATCTAACCACTCTGGGATTTTGGTTTTTTTCTAGTTTTTCTCTTGTTTTTTAGTTTTTTGGGCCATGAATTTTGAATTGGGTTTACCAGGCCTTGCCCAAAAAAGGCTACAGAGCACTTCCTATGATGTCTCTGGACAACTTGCTAAGTTTGGAGATTCTTTCTCATTTTCCAAGGATTAAAACATTAAGAATAGGAGCAAAATTCTCAGAACTGGTTTGCTAACGTGACGTAGCAGAACACTATCTTATGACGGTTTCCTATGAAATGCGGCTCTTGTCATCAGTCTCTGGGTGGGTGTGATGTGGAGATTGGTGCCACCAATAACTTCTAAACCCAGTGGTCGTTTCAGCCAATTATGATGGAGATGGGAGAGGTCTTAAAGGGAGGCTGTTCCTACAAGATTCCCGCTGAAGGGCCACCCCATTGGCCTTTCTCTGCCTCTCCCACCATGCTCAGCCTTGTGCAAACACAGGAAAGAGATTGCAGCCGAATGCAGGCTCTCTCAGCTAGCACCAGGGAGGTTGTGTTGTAATCAAGTTTTAACATTTGTCTTTATTTCAGTAAATACACAACTTTGCTTGAAGACAGTGAAAAGAAACTTCGGCTGTTCCCATCCATGTAAGTACCATCCTGTATTAAGCTGCTACCAGGAAAAGAAAAACAGCCGTGTGAATTTCATTTTCTGCTAAAGTATTGTAACGTTTTATAGAGAATAATGACATGTCTCTTTCATTCGGGTCTCTCAGGAAACCTTCAGGGAGGTTAGAGGTCGTCCAGCTGATGGAGGCCATGGACAGCATGTTGGAAAAAGCTGGAGTAGACAACAAGCTAGTCGGAGTAACAGGACCTTCGCAGGTGGATAACTCCCTAGTAGCCAGACAAATGAAATCCCGTTTTCCCCAGTGTTCATCCCTGCTGTGTTTAAAGTATCTCCCAGCAGTTAGTTGTTACCCGAACCAGCTACCTGGAGATCCTGTCATAACTGGGGGTTTTCACTCCTGAGCGATTCTTCATCTCGGTCTGACCATGGCACACGTTTAGCTTGCTGGTGCAGGGGTTGCTTTCCTGACACAGGAAAAAGGATGCGTGCAGGATGCGTTGCTGTGAAGGAGCGAAGGCGCAGCAGCTGTTGTATCTCCCTGTTGTGAGATAGGCTGCTGTGTTATGGACTGGGCTTTAGAAACCTGCAGAGCTCTAAAAGCAGATTCCAGAGGATGGGGCTTATTTGCTGCTATTCTTGCACGCTAAGGGGGAAGGTTTAAATAGATAGAGTAGCGTTTTTGAAAAAAAACTGAGCTTCAGTAGGAACTGCAGCTGGAATTAGCGGAAAAGCCCCTGTGGACTCTGATGTGACAGTAGTCATGACAGTGCATAACGCTTCTGAAAATGATCTGGTGAATGCATGCAGGATGGCTTTTTCCCTTCCCCTTTCTGCCTTTAGTAGTGTATTGTCCTCAAAGGGGAACTTCTTTCAGAAGTAAGAAAGATCTGTGCTAATCTTCATTGTTAAAGGAGTAAGCTTTTTTTTTTTCCTTGTATGTTTTGTCAGCTGCACAATGTGCTGGAACTGATGAAGACAGAGCAGAACATTTACAACATAGTTTTCCATGAGCTGATTCGGCAGGTCAGCGTGGACTGCATAGAGAGAGGACAGCTGCTTTCGAAGCTCAGGTCATCCTTAGCCAAGTACCCTAATCACCCTCTTGATATGTGGCAGTATCCTGTCAGCAATAACATTAGCTCTTACAGATCATTCTTAATGTCATTGCCTAGCAGTGTTACCCTATCATAATGTAGTTGCCGTGGGGTCTGATGCCATAGGTGAAATGGGATTTCCCTGCCTAGTTAATGACCAGTGCTAATGGCCCTCCGTTCCCTAACCTGGAATTTGAGCTCCACTGCTGTGGCACCGTCAGCACGCTTGACAGCTGCACCAGCGTGGGCACCATATGGGTGTGACATTGAAGGGAAGTTTTCACGTGTTGAATAGCTGAGACTTCCCTCAAGGCCAGGGTTTCTGTGCTCTTCTCCACTGTTCACGCTCAGACTACCGTTATTTGTAGCAACTAAATTTCTCCAGAGTGTTTAAAAAACTTTAAACTTGGGTTTAAAATCCCAAGTCCAAATGGTCAATACATTGTCTTCTAGATAGCTTTACAGAGCAAAAGGAAGGGATCTTCAGGTGGGGTAAGAGAGCAGTGTTCTCAGGGAGCAAAGGTAACTTCCCTTTTTTTACACTCTTTTTGTTACAGGCAGAGGTACGTGAGTCTGCTGGAGCGGATTCCTCAACAAATGAAGACCCTCTACAAAGAAATGATGGCCCAGCGGTTGGTCGACAGACATATTGCAGAGGAGTTATTCTATTTCAAGGAATCTGTTGCACAGCTGACCAGGTCTGAATCCTGCCTGATCCTAGGAAGTTATCTCAGTGCGGTAGGCTTAGCACATTGATTTGTTCAATTTTCTAGTTTACCTCCCCTAGGAGCAGGAAATTAGTTTTATGATGTGAACCAGAGCTACAGGGACCATACTAGAGCCTCCTCACGCTCTATACTGTACCCTTTCACTGCAAGCTGTGCAGCACAGGAGTACAGAGTAACACCAAGGTCACCTCCTTGCCTTAGCACCTTGCGCAGAAAGGGTTTGCTGGAGCAATGTCTGTGCATAGGAAGAGGAGGCGTAAAGATGCCTTTCTCCCTTATAGGGAGATGGTTGTGTTTGAGGAAGGGAGCCTTGCATGATAGTGTAGGGCATACCAGCCTGTGTTTGGCAGGGGAGAGCTTTTTTGGTTGTGCTACGTTGCATTCAGACTGTTCCCTGCTGTTTCAGAGAGCTGTATGAGGTACGAGAACATGACCGCAAGGTGACCAGAGAAGCAGAACAAGCTCAACAGGAGCTTGCCACAGCAGTGCGGGAGGCTGAGATGAATGCAAAGTAAGTTGCTTTCAAAGTTGAAGTCGCTGAAGCGTGCTGGCATCGTTCTCTTGGGATTGTCCGGAAGGAGATGCAAGGACTGATTTCCTTCCAGAGAAGACAGCTTGGCTGTTTTTGATAAATGCAGTTATTTTGCTGTTTATCTTAAATTCCTCAAAGGGACGTTCAGAACATAAATGTTTTTAAGCCATACAAGCTGCATTTGTTGCTCAGGTGTTGATGTTCCCATTCCTTCACTCCACGTTGGCAGCAGGTAGCTTCACAGTCTAGTAGTGCCTGCCGGTCTCAACTTTTGGGGGCCTGTGGACACCTTCACATATTTCAGAAATGGAGGATTTAGGTGGTCGGTATCAGAGCGGTGAGTGCCGAGGCGCTGGTGACTTACATGACTTGTGTCATGAAAAAAACAGCTAGTCTAGGCCCCGCAGAGATTTTTATCCTTGCCAACTGGAAATTCACAGTGGGAATATCAACAGAAAGGTGTTGTAGGGGCTCAGGGAAAAAACTGTGAATTCACAGGCTGGTGTGGGAGGTGGCTGAGGAAGGAAGGAGGGAGAGGAAGTGTCTAAGAAATGCTTTGGGAACTGGGAGAAAGACAGTAAACCTTATTAAGAAGAAAGGAGTGTGCACATATTTCATTGTCTTTCTCTTCTTGTAGCCTTGTGGAAGAGTATCGGGAGTTATATGAGTTACAGAGAGCCAGACTGGAAGAGCAGATTCTCCTGCTAAGACAAGAGAGAGACATTTGGAGCTCAGCTGCACATGACCTGGCGCTGAAGGTAGGTGCAGGAGGTCAGGCATGCACTGCACGACGTAAACCGTCATAGCTAGCAGTCGTCTTCCAAGGGAAGATTTCAATCCAAAACACGTTTCTATTTAATGCTACTGGGATCTATCACATCTCATACCTGCCCTGACATCATTTTCTGAAGTCTGTTGTATTTCACATGTTTTTGCATGGAAACCAGTTGATTCACACAGCATTTTTCGGCACAGATCTTTAGGTCCTGTGCAGGAAGCACTTCTATGAAATTAGTATTTCTGTTCAGAAATAGATTTGGCTTAAAAGTTTCCTGATCTCCTCATAATTTAGCCAGATTCCTTAGGCTTCCTCACAAAATATTATTGTGGGTTAACACTGTGCTTCCTTGTGTGAGTGTGTCTCTTGTCTGTGATCTTTCACTGTATCCCATTCAAGTTGAAAATCTGATACGAGAACTTTGGGGGCTGCCTGGGAGATAAGAAGTTTATTTGCAAGGAAAGGGAACTCAGTTGCTTGAGTTCCACTTCTTCAGTAATAAAGCTGCTGTGTTACTATCAGAGTTGCATCATGCTCCAATGCCTCTCCTCTCCGAAGAGTACAGTGCGAATAATAAATGTTTCTTTCAGGTGATAGATAGAAACCGGCTCATATTGGCTCGCAGGCTCTATGTTAGTGAAAAGACACTGATCAAACTTCTCAAACATTTCATAGTCCTCTTGGCATCACAGGTAGGGACCTGTCTGCGATGGGTAACTGCTCCAAATGTTTGCATGGGTGTGAAGGTTTATGTAGCTCCCTGGATCTCAGTGAAGCATTCACCACTCTGGCTGTGATTTGAACTTTCAAATCTTGGTCTGGGTTCAAGTGAACACAAAGATTTGAATCAGTTTTCTTTCCTCCTGCTTCTTTCCTCCATGCCCCTACGTTCTCCTTGATGCTTTTCTTATTCCTTTATTTCCCCTTTGTGGCTTTCCCTGTTCCATATCCACAAAACCAAAACAGATCAATGCTAGTATAATTTTGGCCTCGGAGGTGTGGGGGCTGCGTGGTCTCCGCATAGCATACAGGCAGCAAGAAATCAGGTACCTGGTTCTGGCGTGCCCTAGGAGGGTCAAGCACCCTCAGGCCGTGCCCAAGGGTTTGTGGGGGCTGTGCTGTGAAGATGCAGAAGTTTCCCACCTCCCAGATCTCTGACATATATATGTCTCAAAATAGCTCAGGCAAAGGAAGAATTCATTTGACTCAGATCAAACCTATCACGACAACATTTCCTTTTCCCGTTCTCCTACCTGGTGCCTGCAGGACACAAGAGACCTTGCTGATCTGCAAGAGGAGACTGAGCAGTTCAGACAAATGCTGGGACACATTGGAGCAGAAATAGACTGCTGTGAGGAATCCAGCAAGGAGAAACTGCATGCTGTCCGACGAGGCCTCACCAGGTGGCTTCAGTACTTCCAGGACAACATCTTGTGAGTGGCCCGGAAGGGCTAGGTGACAGCAGCCGGTTCCCTCCACCTTTGCTTTGTGGCAGCCAGTGTCACCGGCCCAGTGCAAAGGCTGCCCTGACTTTGTGACTCTCAGGGGTAGGGCGATTTGGTGTGGTCCACAATTTGCATGTCCCTCACTGCTCTACTTTTCTGTTTGATACATTTATTTTGATAATCGAGCGCCTAACAGATATTGGTACCTCCAAGATAATGCTGGAAGTTCATGGTTGAACTTGGTGGAAAGGTTGCTGCTGACCCAGCGGAGCAAGGATTTTACCTTCTGTGGACCAGAGTTCCCTATCTGAGCGTTTTTCTTCTGTGACTGTCATGACGGGATTTTTCTGTTTGGTTAATTTTAACCTGAATGCGCATGTATTAATGCTTCTGATGGAGCGGTATGGACCAAATGAGACGCTGAGAGTCTTGAGACTTCAAACCCAAGGTCTCTTAGTATGTTAACGTAACTATATTTTGCAGACTTCTTGTTCCTCTATTGCCATATGTTAAATACAGTAAAATGTAACTGCACACACATTGTTTGATATATTTCATTCATAGACTTAATAAAGGTTCACGTTTCAGCATGTGTTTGAATTAGATTTTTCTTCTTTGCTGGAAGTAACATATTTTCTTAACTGTCACCCAGTGCTTTTGTGATGTTAAGTGAGAGAACAAAAATCCCTGGCTGGGTAGAGCCTCCTGTTTTTTACTTCTGTTTCAAGTTACAATTTATATCACAAACTCAGTATGCATAGAGTAAATCTTCGCTTTTGGCTTTACATTGGCTACTGGAGGATTTCTTTTCTTTCATCTCTCATCCCTTTCTTCCCTCTTTGCTTTAGTTCCTCTCCGGTGAAGGAAGAGCTATTGGATGAAATGCTGCAAGATATCAAGAATTTGGAAAATGTAAGATTTCGGGGTTTGGCCATATTACTGAGTGATATCTGCTCAGCAAATTACCACTTGTCAGCTGAGCCACAGTGAGCATCTGTGCCCATCGCAAATGTGCGGGAATACATATCAGCTTAAAGCTTTTGTTCTGAGGCTTAAGCTAAGAGTCTACATGTGAAAAGTTATAATGGACTGATACCATAGTTCAGCTGAAGCATTAAACTGACTCGTGCATCTGAGCACTGTCTGACTGACAGCTGTGGTGACTGATAAATGATATTAATCTGTAGAAGCACTCAGATGGATAGAACTGTCACCCTCGTGGAATAAGTTTCTGGTTTTTTGTGCTATTTGCTTGGACTGTGACAGCCTTACAGTCGTGGATCCTTGTACTTCTTACCTGGTTTCCATCGCCTTTCTCTTGCAGCTAAGAGGAGGCCCAACTTTTAGGGGCATGACAAGCTTGCTGCTTTTCTTTCAGATGTTAAATGAAGACCTGCAGCAGTATGAAGGGGAGGTGTACCTAACAAAAATGGAAAGTCTGAAGAACGTTGCCAGGCTACAGGAACACTGGACCAAGCTAGGACACACAGTGCTGAATCGACACCGGGACTTCAATGGAGCATTGCCTCCAGAGCATGCTGCCATGGAAGAAATAAATCAAAGAGCATGTGAACTCTGCCAACAATATCAAATAAGGATAAGTGGGGATAATGGTAAGAAATGACTAGTTTTGCCATGCAGTCTTCCCTCGGGTACGCCAGGAAAAGTACTGCGTAATAAAGAACCAGTTGATGTAATCTGTTTTGGCTTTTCCCTTAAAGCCAAAGTCTGACCCTCAGATACGTACTGGGAATGAAGAGAGTTCAAGGGATCTTCTCTGAAGAGTTTTGACTCACAATTGCACATAAAAAGCGTATTTGAACTTTGAAATGCAGTAAAGTGCAATCAAAGAGCAATGCGATACAGATGTGATGTGGGGAAGTTGTGTGTCACATTCAGAAGGAATGTGTTCAGCCTGTGATTATGTGGCTAACATGTGGAAAAGAAAATAAATGCAAAAGGAAAGAATAAATATTTAAGTTTGAAACTAAAAAGTTGCTTTGGAGATCATTAACCAGAAAACACTGTCTCGGAGCAGAATACTTCTTTTATTGCCATATCACTAATATAGGATTATCTTAATCTAGATACTGAATTATCCTGACTAAAAAAAAAACACGTAAATAAATGTTTTCATTGCTGATAATAAAGTTATCCTGTTCTGTGTAAGATGACAAACATTTGGGTGATTTGCAACTAACCTTCTCGGCCTTTGCCTGTGGAAGGCCTTGACGCGTTTCTGATTTCAGAATTGTTTTATCTCTGTTTTCTAATAGTCTTATTTCCTTTTAGCAAACTAAAGCTAAACTGAACATGTGTTGTCTAGAACTACTACTCATATTTGCTAAGCTGCTTTTCATACTGTCATCTTATTCTTTCACTTAAGATTATCCTGTGCTTTTTTTCTATATTATCTCATACTGTTATATTTAGGCTCGTGAAAGGAGCTGCGATAGAATGGTAAGTCTGTCCATCGTAAGAGGCTGCCAAAGGAATTAAACACTCCTAGTAGTTCTCATTAGAAAATGAGACAAAGAAGAAGAAACGGGGACATGCCTGGTCAGATACCAGTAGAGCAAAAAGTTAATAGCACATTGTCAGTAGTCTTGATATTTCATGGCGATCTGATCAAAGGGCTCGGCAGTACACTGCAGGCCTCTTATTCCAAATCACCTCAGTTAATGAAGCCTAGAAAAAGGGGTTTCAGCTTATTTTAACGAGAGCTTTGGGGGCTGGACCAGAGCAAAAGTATTCTCTTAATCCATACAGGGTAGTTTGAACTGCTTGGACTCATTGTTGTGTTGTAATTTAGGCAAGGCAAGGTATCTCTTCTCTTTAGATTGTAGCTCTGGTAAAAGCTGGTGAAAATCAGAGGCAGAGGGTAGCCTTCTTACCAGTCTGGACACCTCAGCGCTGCATCGGCATGTCACATGTCTCCCGATCCAGAGCAGAGGTTAACCACTTCTACCCCGCAGCAGTGTGATGGGGAAACAGAGATATGCGTCACATTCATTAAAATGTTATGGAAGTTGCCCTCTTCTTCCGTGTATGTAACATGACGCCTATGCCACTAGATGTCCTGGAAGGTCAGGGCTTTAGCAGGATTTAAAGGAAGTTTAAACATTGTGCGTGGATATCAAGAGAAACTGTTGTTACATTTCAAGCCCGCTCCCCAACAAAGAGGGTGTTCATCGGTGTATGCCAGGTGAGTGAGTGAACGGATAACTTATGCCTTTGCCCAGGCGTTTTGCGCATCTGTGTACTGTATCACCTTGGACTAAGCGTCTTTGAAGAATCATGTTTTAACTGCAGAGCTTTTTTGAAGAGATTATATTAAGCCATTATATCCCGTTATGCAACCAGGGAGCCAAATCTGCAAAAGACAAGAAGGAAAGTCAGGGCTTTAAATCAAGCCTATTTTCTTTCAGCTTACTTTAAATTCAGTGCTTGTCAAACAGTTCATTCTTCGTATAAGTCTAGGCAGTTCCCACATAGGCTGTTCTTCCTTCTTGGCATAGTGCTTTGAATTGACCTTTATTTTTGTTGGCTGAAAGAATGTAATTAAAGGTTCTTATTTTCTTCCCCTCCAGGCACAACTAAAATTTTGACACGCTTGGTGAGAAGTATGGAAGACTGGTTAGTTAGGGTGCAAAAGCTGAAGCAAGGTTGTGACATGCATGAATCTGAGCTGCAGGCCTTTCGTCACCCCCTTCCCACATGGCTGGCCCAAGTGAACGCATTGATGAGCTTCATAGGCTCCAGCCAGTTGCATGAAAATGAGAATGACAAGCAACCACATCTCCCGTAAGGATAGGGTGCTTTGCTGTGTCTGGGGTGGCCTTATACTGTGAACTACACACACAAAAAAAGCAAAACGCTCTTTTGTGGGGAACCCCGCAGGGGAAGCTGGCAGTGGGATACAAATCATCAGTCAAACTGTTGAAATGATCAGTGACTGCCTTTCATCTGCTTTGATTTGGCAATATCTGTGGAAACAGTTGGTGGCTTCAATATCGCTTCTGGAACATCACGGTCTTCCTCAGAACTGCCACCTGCCTGACATGTGAAGAAGACACAAAATATGTGATTTATTTACAGCCAGGTTTGTTGGGGGCAAATCTGCTTTGTGGTGCTCCATTATCTTTGGTAATGCTTTATTTGCAGAGCGCACACATAATGTATACATAAAAGGTTACTTACAAATGACAACTTTGACCATAACTACAGCATTTACAAAATTGCCTGTTCCCAGTATATAACACACTAAATGTTTAGTTTTCCTTGAGTTGGGAATCAAAAGGTATTTTTGAGACAGGAGCTCCTCTGGTTTGGTGCACTAGGGGTCACTTTTTCTGTATTTTTTTTCTTGGTTTTTTTTTTGTTTGTTTGTTTTGTGTGTTTTTTCAGAGTGGTACCCAGAGAAGTGTTTAAGATGATTCGGCAGTGGATTCTGTCCATGAATAGTGAAATTGAGAAGAACATCACACATCTTAACCACGAAGTAAGTGCAAGCCTGAAACGGCTAGGAATGAGAGCACTGCATCTAGTATTCACTCTGTCCTTTAGTTTTCTTCTGCCCAGAGCACAGTTGTGAGGACACCTCTTTTCTACTTTGACACCTTCGAGTTAACAATTGTGGCTTTCCTCTTCCAGTCGAGGGAGCATAACAGGACTCCTCTAATAAACTTGGTGCGCTGCTACTCGCATAGCGGAAGGTCTTCTTCGATCTAGTGCATGAATACAAGCTCCCCCCCCACATCTTTGCCAAGCATTTCTTCTGGAATAATATTGCTATTTCCTGTTCAGAGAGCTGATTTAGCTGCTAGATCTCTATTTTTTTTTTTTTTTTAGGATTGTAGAAGAGCATTTTTTTCCTATGTCCTATCAATGTGATGTGTGGGGGGGTGTGTGTTATTTTTTTCTTTTGTCTATAGATAGCTGAATTCTGGACAAGGGAGAGTGCTATGTGGCTGATAACCAGCTTATGATCTTCTAAAGAACTGAGAGAAGGATGGATCCATAGTAGGAAAAGATGTGTTGGCAGTGGGAAAGAAAATTGGGGGGAAAAATGGTAAATGCAAGTGTTTCTATCTTTAGGCTAGTTTACAAATGAAATTAGTTTGGACCTTGAGGTATGTGAAACGCTACTGATTTCCAAATACTTGGTAAGACCTTTATTACTGATTTAGATTTGCTTTGTTTTGTGCAGGTGACTGAACTGCACAGAAACTTGACGCTGTGGCTGGCAAATTTGCTGAGATACATGGTCCCAGACCGTTTGTGCTGTGAGTGTCCCCAGCGGACAGATACTGATATGGAAGAGGAGCTCCGATTTCTGAGTGCTTGTAAGCTAGAGGATGAAGCTGAAGGGCTGGTTGCCAAGATCAGCAGACTCTCTAGTTATATGATCAGGTATTAATAGAGGTTTTTAATTTCATCTAGGGGGGTTTTCTCTAGGGAAACTGTGTGGCGTGTGGTGAGAGATTCATCATGGTAATAGGTCCCATCAATTTCCAGGAAAGCAAGAGGGGTTGGATGAAAAAGGGGTTCCAAATTTTGTTTTCCTTAGATCCTCTCCCAGGTCCTAAATGTGCTTTCTTACTGGGAAAATGCCTAGAGGACTTGCTGCCTATGTCAGCCTAGTGCTGTATTTCTGTACTTAGAGACTGCGATGATGTTACAGACTTGGGGTTGTGACTTCACTTGCAAAGACGAGAGGTAGCTGAGGTTTGGCGCATCTAAAGGGAATGGCTGTCCCTAACTTATTTCCTGCTGGCATCTGTGATTGCAAGGGCTTTGTCCACACTGTTGAGGATGATCTCTGGAGGACGTAAGGGCAGTGCAGGCAGTGAGCCTGCAGTCTAGAACCCCAGAGCACAGCCTCTACCCTATCCAGAAGCAGTGCTCACGTGTCCTCCATGGGTTAGTACAGCACAGGCACAGACAGGCTGTCTGGAAGGTCTCTATGTGAGTGGGGCTGGTGAGGATGGCTCTTCTTGAGACTTCTTGTGTGCCCAGGTCTCGAGACAGCCCGTGGGTCTTGCTGAGAGCAACAGGCTCCTGACTGAAGGGAATAGAGCATTTGAGGGCATGGCTGCAGGGCTGATGGCATTCTGCATCTCTGCAGCTGCTGCCAGGAGATTGTCGGTGCCATCGTTCGAAAGAAACAGTCAGAGACAGGTTTACAAGATGATGCGGAGCTGCAGGAGCTGAATAAGATCAAGGTAATAGGTGCCTGCATTTCCAGCTGTCCGTGTCTGGGGTGGACTAGCCTGCATTTGCTTTGTGAAAGGTAGAGATAAATACACGTAAAGGCTTCAAGAAGAAGGAAAACGCCTGCTGCTCCCCCAGTCCTCAACGTTTCCTACTAACTCTGCAGCCTTGGAGAGCCCAGAATTTTGATAAACTTGGGTCGTGTTTAGTTACATTTTCCTTACCATGTTGCAGGGTACATACTTAAGGGCTTTTCTGTTAGATTTATTGTATGAATAGCAGTAGATGCAGCTCAGATTTAAGACTTCCGAGCCATGCATGTCTAGACTCGAGCAGTACTTAAGAGTTCCTGGATGTGCTTGATGCAACCTACCCTTCCACTACCTTGTGCAGGCAGCTGGCCTTACCTGCCTCTTTCTTATGCTACACTTTCTTGCATGTGCACAATGTGTAGAAAGATAACTTGCTGTTACTCAAAGTATATGTTAATGGCAGTGTCTTGTTTTGGAGCACCTGGGGGATCATGGCAGCATACATCTTCCATCTTCTTCTTGTAATCGCAACCACAATCGTCTCTAGTGCTTAGGTGAGCTTTGTCTATGCTTTAGGAATGTGAAACGTAGACCCTTCCAGAAGCCCAAGGCTGTGTTGAGCACAGGACAGATGATATTGCTTTAAGGAGAGTAAGGGATCCTTTGCAGGGATTGAAAATAACTTTCCACAGAGCTTCTGTTCTCTGTTAGCTCAGTAAGTGGAAAAATTAGCGCTTAGGATTTACACTCACTTCTTCCACAGGGTAGAGCAGTGGCCTGACAGATCATCCTCAGGGCTGGGCTGAGGAAGAGCTTGTTGAATGAATTAATTGCTGTGAGTGATTAGCCAGTGACAGATGCCATGTCTCAAAGTTTGGAGAAATGTGTCTTCCTCCTTAGGGGGAGGATGCAAGAGTCCAGTTTGGTCCTTGGAACAGATAAAGGTAGAAGGATGAAGTTGTTTAGCGGAATGAATGACTAAGGTCACAGATGTTTTTACTACTCAGTAAGCCTTCTTTTCTGTTATGTCTTCCCAGATTGAGTGCTGTAATTGGATTCAAGCGTGTAGTCTTATCCTTTCAGAGATCAAAGGCGCTCCAGTCTCCTTTCTGAGTTTAGAAGAGCTGAAAAAACTCTTTGGCTCAGAGGTATATAAGACCGCATTTGTTATTCTAGGTTGAACCAGTTTGAATGAAGACCTGTTTCAAAAATTTTTCTTCAAGAAGCAGCTACAGTTCAGTTTGGGGGGGGGGGGTGGTGGGTGGGGGTGGGGGGGAGGTTGTAGCATGTGTGAGAGAGGGTGAGAGACTGGTTAGCTTTGCCTAGGTTAGCTAGATGGACAAAGGGAGTGTGCTACTAACTAGACCCTTATGGTGTCTTACAGGTGTTGCAATTAAAGCTTAACCTTAAGGACCCTGTCACTTCTTCATCTCAGGAAGGGCTTGAAGCTGAGGACATCAACAGTGATAAGAAACCCATAACAGAGGAAGAAACATTAGAAGTAAGGAGAAAATTGCTATTATGCAGGTGACTAGTAGCTGCAGTATGCTGCGTTCTAGCAGGGCCTTTTTTATGTTCCCTGTATGCTGTGTGAAGTGTGCTATTACAGCCGCCCTGAGCTAGTGTTATTTCTCCTATTTCTTGTTCATTTTCTCTCTCAGCAGCAGCCAGGGGCTGGCACTGATTACCTGACTGAGGGCGATGAAGCAACCACAGACATGATCAGATATGTGGGACATGACTTCAACATCCACCTGAAGTCCCTGAAGTCAGACATCGTTTCAGTTACAGGGGTAGGCGCCTCCACCACACCAGTGGTTTTAGCCTGTGGGCAGAGAGCTGGAGCTGGAGTTTAGCACCCTAGTCAGTCTGTTAGCAGACCCCATTCAACACTTGTTTCAGACCCTGCTGGGGCAGTGCAAGGTGCTTGTATTCTTTGATTCTTTTCTTACAGATATAAAATACCCATTGGCACCGTTGCCGCTGCCTCGGTTGGTCTGCCTGACTCATGTATTACTGCCCTGCGCCATGGCCCCAGGACTTCCATGGGACCAGTGATGAGCAGAGTGTGTGGTCTGGGTCGGGTCTACCAACAGAGATTGAGTGAGGGCTGGCAGCACTTCCAGGGACGGTGAAAATGATACGGAGGCTGAACATGTTGAAGGGGAGTTGAAGAGGGATCAGGGATTCAGGGAGGTCCCAGAGCAACAGGCAAGCAAGAAGTTCAGGTTGTTTTGGCCAGCTATGCCTGCTGGGTATTCTTTGGAAGAGGACTCCAGGCTAAAGGCCTGTTTTGGTTAAGTTGCTCTGCAGTCAGAAGTCATAGGGCCTGATTTCTGCAGTCAGTCGCTAGCTGGTTAATCATCCGGAGTGGGGCAGAGATGTACAGGAACTGTGGATCTTTGACAAACTGTCACTGGATGGTCCCACTCCTCAAGCGTGCTGTATTGGCACGGAGCTGAGCATGCCCTGCCCTTTATGCTCTACAGGTGGGTGGCTGGTGCAGAGTGATGGTGGCAGTCACAGGAGCATGTCTTTATGGACCTTGATTTTGTTATAGAAAAATGAATCCCTGGAAATCACAATTAACTCTCCAAAGCTTAGAATAGGAGCCTTTTAACAGTTATATTTCCACAGAAATTATGATTGCCTGCTTCATCTGAAGCACACTAAGTATCTTGTGCCTTGTTGGCCCTTTTGAGGAGCTGTCTCTTTCTATTCTCTGTCTCCTTTCTTTTTTTTTTTTTTTTTTGACTCGTAGTCCAGCCACAGCCATCTCTGACCTCCAAAACCCAATGAACCGCACTGGCAACTTAAGACCTTTAGCCAGTGAGACATTCATGTCTGAATCAGAAAAGCATTTAAGACTATTTTTAAGGCCAAGATATGAGCAGATCCAATCAAAATGAAGTGTTTGAACTAGCTCCTGTTTTTACATGCTTTGCTGACACTGAGCTCTTGTCTGTGTCCTGATTGTGCACGGTGCACCAGCACCAACCCGGCACATGTTGCAGATGAAACATGGCATTGTTGGTTTCGTGTTCACTTATGGAAGGTTTTGCTTTTCCCAACCAGAGGGAGATGACTGCCACCAAGTCGTCGACCTCCTTTTCTCAGAAAGAGTTTGAAGCCCTGGCAATGGTGGAACATCTTCAAGTACAGCTCCTGTGAGTACTGGTCCTGTACTGGAGGCATGAGTAGGGCAGGGTTTCATCCTAGGCAAGTGGCTCTTCTGGTCTCTGACATTCTGCTTCATTCATCTCTACTGGCTTAATTTTGAATTTCCTTCTCTTCTCCTTGTCTTCGGCCAGTCATTGTGATTTATGTTAGCTAAAGACATGACCTATTTTACTTTAGGACTGGAGCTGTCGCTCATCTGTGCGCAGATTGTTTGCTCTGTGCAGCAGCAGAGATATTCAGCATATAGTTTTGTGCAAGATGTCTCAATTGGTCAGGTCCTGTTAGCATTTGCAGAGCGCTATGCGGATTGCAGCTAAGTGCTTTCTTGGCCCACCAGTGCCCAGGAGCTGGGTAGGCATAACTGTGTAATGTTGTGCCTAAGCATGAGGAACACAGTGAAGAAGCACCCAGGCGGCTCCACGCAGAATCATAGCGTGGTTTGTCATGAGCCTAGTCTAATGACTTCTTCCATGCCTACACAGGTTCGAACATATCTGCATTACATTCCCTCACGCTATCTGCTTTACCTGTGATTTTGCATTGTCTAGGTTATCCCTGCCCCATTAGCCTGGCTAATAGATTTGACTGTACTCTGTATTTATTGTACAATGAAGATCAATACCTCGCCTTTGCTAGCAAACACTGAATTTTAAAAGGAATTGAATTTGCAGGAATTGCATAGCTGTGCCATGAAGTCCCCATTTGCTATTATTAGACCTTCTAATAATGCCATTCTCTGACTCTTTAAATGTGCTTTATAGAGTCAGTCAGTTCTATTGAAAGATTTTCTAAATCTTTCTTTTGAATATCCTGCCAGCAGCTGCTTAGATTCAGGTTTCAGCATTATCTTGGCTTTTGCATTTCAGAGAAACAGAGATCCGTGCTCAGAATGCAGAGGAGAGATCAGAAGGTCTTGAGGAGAAGCTGGAAGGAGCTCTGGAGAGAATCCAGGAGTTGGAGAAAGAGCTGGAGAAAGAGCACAAATGAAAGAAACAAGCAACACCTAAACAAGGGAAAGGTCAGGAGAATCAATGGTTTGAACCTTCTCCTGGACTCGGAGAGAGAAGCAAACTGAGCCACTTCATTCATCTCGCATTTAGTGTAGGACCATCCTTTCCTAGGCACATTCTAGGGTTTTGTTGTTAGATGCCAAACAAGGCGGCTTTTACCATTCCCCCAGGAGATGATTTTAAACTGGGGCAATAGGAACTGTTGGACTCGGCCTGCTTCTGAGAGAAAGTTATTTTGTTTGGGTACTGATGCAGGCTCTTTCTAGGACAGCACTGTAACTGGCTTTATCTTCCTTGCAAGTAAGCATTCCTTGTTACAGTCAGGATGATCTGTTTAGGGACACTGATTCCTGGGTGCAAAAGAAAGTTTTCCACATCCTTCACTCTCAAAGGCCACAGACCTTCATGTAGATAGCTTTTGGACCTGTCATCAGAGTTGTGCCGGCTTCCATATCCTGTCACCCATAGCAAGGGTACTCCTTTGCGCTACAGAGGAAGGTGTAAAGAGGCAGCAGAAGCCAGTGGAGGTCTGAGAAAGCTTCCTCTGTTTGCTGTACAGAACTCGGGCACAGCATGGTCCTGGCTCACACAGGCAATGTATCCTATCTCTGACATAAAAGCAGGGCGCGGAGGCCAGTTTGTTTGTTAGTAATGTAATACCCTGGGCACGCTTTTACTCTGTGGTATTTTTAATGGCTTCATTTTGTTGTTGTTTTTTTCTTTCAGAAAAAGTTTTTCAAGAAAAAAAGAAGCCCTGGCCCACTCAACTTCACCCAAAGCTTCTACCTCTGGCCGATCCAAGAAACCCCGCAAAACCAAACAATAAAGAGTAGCAATGCCCAAGGAAAGCTTCTTAGAGCCCGTTTATAGTAGCATCTCACCCCCTGACCCACTGCCTTTACCTCTTCCTCCACTACCGCAATGTCTCTGTGCCTGTTTTTTACACATACAGTAGACTCTGCACTCCCTAGAATTGCTCATCTCGCTGTAAATGTGCAAACAGAAGCACGACAGCAATATTCCTCCCCCTCAGTCCACTCTGATGCATTTATACTGTTTCTCCAGCGGATTCTGCCACTTCCATACTTGTCTCTGCTTATCCTCTGCTTCCTCTAAATGAATTTGTAGCTTATCTTCCTGCAATACTATTGCTACCTCGACTTTCTCCTACCCACATCTCTCCTGCCTGTTACCCCCCCCCCGCCCGCCCCCACCCCAACTGCCTTGCCCTGTGCTTGGCTCCTCTTTGTATTCACCAGTCTTCTCCTGTTGCTCCATCTTATTCTGCCTCACTCTGTGTGCAATCTGACAAGTAAGTCGTTTGCACCTCTTTCCTCGCATATTGAGGGTTTTTTTTCTTAGTGTCAGTGTGGCCTGGTTGCAAGTCGCTCAAGTTGCACCCTCTTGACCAAATTCAGAATGCTGGCTAGATTTCTGATCGCTAATTCTTTCATTTTCTTTCCCATTTTTGTTTTTAGCGTAAATAAAAGTTGCTGTTTTCTCTTGTGTATTTGAGAGGGGGTACCTCCTTCATTCTCTGGGCTTTCAAATGGTCCAGTTATCTGCTGAGTGGTTAGGAAGAAATTGTACAGATTGGGAGTTTTCTTCCTTAGTTGGATCTTGTACTTCTGAAGGTTTTGTCCTTCTGAGAGAAGGCATGAAGCAGCCTGAAGCCACACATGGTCCTGAAGGCCCTTCTCAGCTTGCTGCCACAGGAGACGGCTAGGGTCACAAGATCAGACCTCACATGATGCCAGTTAATCCTCTCAGTGCCCTGAGATGGAATTTTAAACACCCACTCCATTTCACTCTAATTTGTGAAGTTGGTGTTTGAGCCCCCTAGCTCCCCAGCTGCAGTAGTCCTGCAGCCTGAACAGGCCAAACCGTGCAGTGAGGTGCTGCCCTGGGCTTCTGCCTCCGCTGGGTCCAGGCCCTGAGGCAGTCGATGGGGTTATAATGTGCTGGAAGCCCAGCAGCAGCTGTCTGAATTTGATGCGGTTCTTCTCAGTCTGACCTAAACCCAGCACAGAGGAGCAGGCAGCAAAACTGTCACGAATCGAGTCTGCTTCAGATAGCCACTGCCAACTCCCTGGGAGTAAATTCTATTTTGCAAACATCATATGCCAGAAATTGTAAAAAGTATGCCAGAAGTACATTTCTAAACTATGTTTTCCTGCTGGAAGGCTTTTGAATGTAGTATCTCCTGAAGGTAAAATGACAAGTTTCTACCAGCAATGTGTATTTAAAAGAGAGAAGATCCTGCTGGAACTAGGTGCGTTCTTTGGAACTGAGGATGCTCTTCGCTATCGGTTGCTTTTTTTTTTTTTTTTTTTTAAATAAGTGAATATTGCAGAAAAGTTTTAATGCCCAAATTATGCCTGACTTCTGCAGATATGACTGTAAACAGGGTACTGTGTGTGCACTTAGTACCATGTGCCTCAGTCTTATTTGTTGTTCAGGTTAAAAGTTGTTCTTTTCGTGCTTTGTTCTGTAGAGGTGTTGATCTTTGATTTGTCAAGGAACCTTGGTCGGGGCAGATCATTTTACATGGAGTTAGAAATTTAGCTAGAGAGGTGCTCGGAGAAAGGATCATCTGTAGCTCATGCAGTGCAGTATTTACACCCTTTTGCAGGCACCTATGCAAGCAGCATGGGAAATAACCAGAATCAGCCTTAGAGGAGTAACTGCACAGCTCAGGTTCGTCAGTGGAAGACTACAGAGCTGTTGCACTCTCCAGAGCCCGTTTTCCATGACCGATCACTACTGAGGTCTGTTATGGACTCAGGAGCAGGAGACATATCCATCTGTCTGTCAGTCCTTGCGTGAGAAGGTTACAGAGGGAGAGTGAGCTGGATGTGAAGGGCTCTCAGGAAGTTATACCCAGACCTCAAGATGATTGTGTATCATAATTTCACAGGTTTCCACTATCCAGTCACCTGTAAGGGGGCTGATTTGCCGAGCGTTCTTGCTGTAAGAAAGCTGGCAAATACTTGTGGAGAGTGTTATGGGAACGCTGCATATTGGTAAGGGGACTCAAGTGGGCTCCTTGTGCTTTATAGTATTAAACCAGCGTCTGCAGTCCTTCCTTATGGCACAATTGCATTTAAAGGAAGTTGTACCGAGGGCGTGTGCCTTGCTCATGAAGTGTTACTAGCAGCCAAAGAGGGACTGAAAAAAACTAGTGAAAATACAAGAATGAGCAACTGGCCGGGATATTCCTGCTAGGGACTGTCATGGTGGCAAACTCCCATGTGGGCAGTTATAGAAGGGACCCAAAGTGCTCTCTAGCTTTGGCCTCTGCAGGCCACCGCTTGTCTTCAGCACCAGAACGCTTGGTCTGGGAATGGCTGTGCAGGGGAGGCCTGCTTCAAAGCAGGGAGAGATGTTGCAGGTCAAGTAACAGGGCAGGAGCAAAGCAGGTATCCACCCAAGATGAAAGAAACTCAGTATTAGGGTTTCCTTTGTGTTCCATATCATACCAGGGGAAAAGAAGGAAGGATTTTACAGGAGCTTGGAGGCCTTTCTCTGGTTCTGCCCTGTCTGTAGGGATGCCCAGTGTGGCTGCAATCTGCAAGAATTGCTGTTCTCAAGGCACATAGCTGGCTTTTCCAGTGTGGTACTGGATTCCTCCTTGTCAGCTCAGTGGGAGATGGCTAAGCAGATCATCTTTCTTTTTAGACACGCAGTCCTCCTGGAGCCAGCTGCATACAAGCTCAGATCTTGTCCTGGCTCACCACCCAGTGGAAGCAAGCAGCAGCACAGCCTGCCTTCCCTTTGCACAGCTGGTATGCCTTGCTAGCAAGTGCCAAGCCAAAAACGCTGCCCTTTTCTCATTTTCCTTCTTCCTAGTTTAGTACTAGAGGCTAAGCATCTTGGTCATCTGTGTGTGTGTGCATGGGTGGTGATTGAAATCCTGCATCCGGGACTGCCTTGGGGCCTGGCTTGTTCCCTACTGCTGGCCCCCTGTGCAAACAGTGGAGCTGCAAGGGAACCAGGCTGGCAGTGCCCACTAACCTGCCTGCAAGCTGAGCCCGTTCCTGTAGCCCACTCCCATAGTCCTCCCCAGCTTCAGTTCGTCGGGCTGCCACCCCAGCCTGCCTGGCTCTTCTCACCCCTAATCAACCGTTCATGCTAAGGGAAAAGGCACTTGAGCAAGGATCCCTTCTGTAATGCCTGAGCAGTCACGTTTTCCCAGGGCACAGCACATGGAAACTGGCTTGAAGAGGCATATGCTCCTGCCCAAGCAGTCCAGCCCATTGTGCCTTGGTTCTGTTTTACCACCCTGCTGTAAGATCTTCTGTTCTTTAGAAAATACCCACTTGCAGTCAAGGGTGCAGAAGGAAAACCCCAACAGTCCAAGCGTAAGGACAGAGCCCCAGGAAACCAGTGCCTCTAATATGTTCCCCCCCACCCCGGGGGGGGGGCAGCCTCTCTGTGCCTCCTTTATCCCAGCGTCAAGCTTTCTGCACCTCAACCCGGGCCCCTCTAATCCCCCCCCCCCCCCCCGGGGGGGGGGCCAGCCTCTCGGTGCCTCCTTTATCCCAGCGTCAAGCTTTCTGCACCTTAATTCCCTTGCAGCTTATGTTGTGAGAGATGGGAGGGGAGTTGGGGGATTTAGGGCTTTTAAATATATAGAGGTTAGTCTGTTCTCCCAGCTGACGTGATGAGGAAGGATGGATCAGACCACGCGGGTCAGGCTCTGTGGTGTCAGAGGTGTGTCTGGCCAGGTGAAAGGAGAAAGGAAGAGGAGACACCCCTCCTCCCTGGACCCCCTGCTCACACGCATGCCCTTGCTCCTTGTGCTTCATGTTTTTTTCCTTTCCAAAGCAAGCAGAAACTTCTTGTATGTACAATCCACTTTATATTATAGGCCTGGGTTGCCTTCCCTCCCGCCTCTGGCCCACGTGCTGCTGGTGGGCTGTAGACCAGCCTTCTTGCTCCTCTATGGCACTGTAGCAACCATTTCTGGGACAGCTCTTAGAGCATGGGTGAGTCCTTCTTGTCTTTCAGGCTTTCTGGGAGGTTTGCGTTGTCTGTGAGGAGGCTGCTTACTCCTGAGGGACTGCGGGTGGCTGAAGAGACTAGGTTCATGGGATCCAAAGGCAAGGGCAAGATGAAGGCAGCAGGTTTCTCTGCAGCAAAAGAGTGCAGTGCATGGAGGTAACGGAGCTGAGCAGCAGCAGGGGCACTAGACAGGATCTCAGCTGCCATCCGCAGGGACTCGGAAGCAGCCTTTTCCCCCTCAGCAGCAATCACCTACCAAGAAGGGGAACAAAGAGGGCGTCAGTGAGGCTGGGGAATAAGGGAACGTGGACTGTTTATTACAGAGAGAGGTTGTCCCTGTGATCTCACTGAGGCTGGTGCAAATGCAACATCCCTGCTCTCTGAAGATCATAGCATGTGCTAGACAAAGGTTTGGGAACTCATGTTCAGCTTGTTTTTACTGAAGCTACAGACAGTTCAGGTGCTATTAGGCCCCCATCAGGGCTGACAGTTGGACGGACTCATGCTGTAAAAGCATAGGAAAGGACAGCCCCCCCCTCCCTCCCCCCCCCCACAGGCTGGGCTTGTGGGATGGTTGCTGGACACAGGCTGTTGAGCAGCACGGTGTGAGTGATGGAGGCCAGCCTGGAATCAGCAAGGTGAAGGGGTACACAGGCCCTGCTGTAGCCTCCTGCCTGGGCCCCTTGAGGAGAGGGAAGCCCTAAGAAGGAGAGAGCTCCACAAGCATTGTGGGCTGGAGGTAACCGCAGACTTGTGTGTGTCTTTCTTTCCTACCTATAGGCTAGATGCCAGATGTGGGCTTCCCAGGCAGACTCCTCTGGGCTGGATCAGCCTCCTATTGCAGCTCCCCTTACAGCTTTTGGGCAGGAATGAAAGGAGACAGGTATGCCCAGAGCTATACCCTAGTGTGCCATATTCTAGGGACCTCAACTGGAGATAGGAGAGGAAAGAGGGAGGTTTTGCAAGGAGATGGGAGGTCTTCAACATTGACATACCCGCACTTTGGCCTGCCTCTGAGCCTCTGCTTCCACAGCCAGGGACTGCCGGACTTCAGCAGGCAGCTGTACATTGTTGCTGTGGAAGTAAGAGAGAAGAATTAGCTGGGCTCCATGCTCCCTTGGCAGGACTGGACAGTTGATCTGACTGTCCAGTCAGACTGCTTGGAATAACCTCATCAGTCAGTCTCTACGAAGCTGTTGGCAAACGTCCTTTGCTCTGAACTCCCTGGCTGTCCCTTTTCTTGCTTTAGCCTTCTACTTCCATTCCCATCCTTCTTTTCTAGCCTGCTTTTCTAACGAAACCAGGTGTTCATGATCACCAGATAGCAAAAAGATTTCTCCTATTTGCATCTTTGAGGCTTGAAGCCTATGGTCACCCTTTATCAGACATCAGGGAATCCACTGGGAGATCGCTCTTAAGACACAGCCACAAGAATTTCCTTCTGTTCATACAGTTGCTTATTCACTGCTTAGACCTAGATTCACTTGGCTCCCTCTTCTGTGGCCCTCTACATGATGAGCAAGGCCCACCCTTCTCCATGGGCTTCTGAGCATTGAACCCGTCCCAACCCCAGTACTGGGACCCAGGGCATTTGATCGAGAATGAGACACAGAGGGTTTGGTGCCTGGTGTGACTCCCAGGCCACCAGAAGTGGGTGCAGCTTTGCCAGGAATAATAGTGAAATGGCGATGAATTCCCAGCTAAGGATCCTGCCCTGGCTGTCAGTATACAAGCAAGCGCTGTCTTTGCATGTGCAGGTTTTACTCTAAGCAAAGACTGACGGGGCAAGGAAAAGCCTTTTGGGAGGGGGCCAGAGGAAAAGCAGGAAGAGGAGCAGACAGCAATGACCATGGCAGGAAAGGTACTTGCAAAGAGCCAGGGAGGCCTCCTCTACTGGCACTTCCTACCTACATTTCTGTTCTCTCCACTTTGATCCCCCAGCAGCCTGTGACAGCATCCAAGGCCACCTGCAAAGAGGAGGATTTTCTGAGCGTCAGGAGAACACCAGCCCTTGCCCAGGCCCCTCACAGGGAGTCAGACAGTGCAGGGATTCAAGGCAGTTAACAGCAGGACTTTAGGGCAGATTTGCTAGTTTGAATGTGCTATTTTATGAGGCCCCTCAGAACTGAAATTAGTGCCCTCACTTCCCTTTTGATTCGTGTTTCTCCCATAGGTTTTACACAATTTAACCTATCCATATTGGTTTGAGCGTGGAAGCAATCCTGTTTCATAGGTAACTTAACTGAGTTCCTAAGTGGCCTCATACGTTTAGGTGTTATGGTCCCACAGAACTGCTGTTGGAGATCCCTTATATGCAGGGTTTATGGCAACTTGCTCAGACTGCAGAAGACATTTCCTGTGAGAATCTCCTTTCTGGGGTAAGCGCCGAAGCTGGGGTGTTGCAAAGCACTCATGAAGCTAGTTTAAGATGTTCCTTCATCCCCTTCACACCATACTGTTTACTACTCCCTATGGCGGCCTTTGGTGGCTATACTGTAGAGTCTTCCCCTACAGTGATCCGAGTTTAAAATAACCCTCCCATTTTTCTGTGAAGAGACATGTGTTGTTATTGCACCCTTTTACAAACCAGTATATGTGATTTTGGGGGGTTGATCACCCTTTAAGCCTCGTTGTGGAGCCTCAATTCACCCCCTGGCCTGCCCACTCCCTCCCTTGTGGAAGCACCTTTATCTCCTGGCTGATACTCTTCCTCTCCAATAGGAGTTCGGAGAAGGCTCGGTGTGCCAGGAGGCGCTTCGTGGTGGTCTGCACCAGCAGCTGAATGGCACTGGAGATGCTGGTCAGGGTGGTGAGGAGAAGAGAGGCATTCTCCAGCCGGTAGTAGCAGACAGCATCTATCTCCAAGGTAACCATGTCTTTAGTCACCACCTAAGCAGAAGACATCAGGGGAGATGGAGCTGGTTCTGACAACTCTAAGGTGGCTCTGAGAAGCAGGTGATTCAGGGAACGAGGAAGACTGGCTGGATGGTTAAGGCTTTGTACTCCCAGCTCCTTGAGGAGCTGGTTCTCAGCTCTGCCACTGATTGACCTGGGGCAAACTATTTAACCTCTGGATCTCAATTCCCTGAGCAGCATCTTTGTGGCTGTCTCCTCAGTTTGGCTTCTGAGCTGTGGGACCCTGTGCAGGTCACCATCCTAGGCCGTGTTTCCCTGCCTATTGCTGTCTGGTCCATTCCTGTTCTGAGCACACAGGCTGTGTCTTTCAGGTTGTGCATAGAGCCTTGTTCAGTGTCGCTGAGTAGTCTCTAGAAAGATCTGCTGTATACTGCAGGGGTGAGCCTAAACATGCTACCAGATTAAGATAGTGCTGCTGCAATGCAGCAGCACAGGCAATAGGTCCCAGAAGAAGAGGAGATATTACATGTTTGTCCTGTGTAACCGTGGCTAGGGAGGCAGATTCCTTGGTTAGCAGGGAGGGTTCAGCCCTTTCTCCTTCCCAGGCTTGCACAAGAGCAGCAGCTCCCCCACTGAGGGACATCCTCGTAAGATCTTACAGTCTGTGCTCCTGGCCTCTCTGCATGGACCCTTCAGTGCAGCGGGTAACAAGCTAGTCCTGTATCTTTGGCCCAACCACTTTCCTTTTGCTATATGGTATCATTGAAGCATTTCAAATTGAACAGGACTAAAACCAGTGGTTTTACAATAAAAGAAAAACACTATGGGTGGTATATTTTTGGCCTTCCATTTTCCGAGACATTAGGGTTACTCTGAGATGTTTTTTTCAAGCTTTTCTATGCAACCATGAAGGCTGGAAATGTAAGACTAGGGAGATAGGGACTTCTTCATACATTCACAGGAATCCTGGAGCTGGGGCTTTGCCAAGAAGGCCTGGTTTACAGTGAGACCCTGAGAACTGGCAGTGCTGAACAGTATCTTATGGCCAACGAATTGGTGCTTTGTGACCTGGAACCAGAATCATTGTCTTAATAATTGTCTTAACAACAGGGCTAAGTCAGGGCTGACCTCAGGCATGACATGACCAGTCACAGAGAGGTGTAAAGATAAAGAGACCCAGCAGTGAACAGACAGGGTGGGGAGCCATACCTGGTGGAAGGGGATCTCTAGCGTTTTGAGGCGGAGGTCCACCTTGTGATACGTGTCCAGACAAGGAAGGAAGAAAAAAAGGCCTGTGGGAGGAAGAGAGAGAGGCCGCCGGTGATCATCAGAACCTCAGAAATTTCTTCTCTGGCTTTGGGGGCCAGGAGAGGGGTTGGCATGAAGAACTAGAAAGGAATAGCAATATATGGGCTCAAATTCTGAGACTGCTTCAGTATGGGAAAAAACATCAGAAGCTGATGGCCCTGTTATCTCCTGTCTGGCTGGGCCTGCTTGGAGAGGTAAAAAGCTACCAGTATGTGAGCTCTGGGAGGGCATGGAGAAGAGGAGGGACATAGCTGGGGGGGAGCTGAAGGAACATCTTACCAGGCCCTCTGGCTCTGCCAGGCAGGAGACGCCCAAGTCGGAAAACAATGGCTCTCTCATACTCCCGCACTACCTGCAGAGGAAAAAAAAGAGACTAGGCTAGAGGGGGAAGGCTAGGGCCAGAGGAAAGGGGCCTTACTCAGCTGTGTGCTGGAGGACCTCTGTTCTGGGAAAGCCCTGCAAAGGGAGGGCTTCAGCAGATGTGAACCGTTGGAGTCACCTGTCACTATGAGTCCCTTTACCCCAGCAGGGAACCTAGGCCAAAATTGCTGGCTGGCTTGTGTATGAGAGGCACAGGAACAGCAGCCCAGTGATGGCCTGAGGATGGGTGAGAGCAGCCCATGTTGGTGCTGCCCAGGGTTTCCCAGGATGAGGCCAGCACTCTGCTTCTTTATAGTTTGACCAAACTTGAACTCTCTGAGCTTAAATTTTCCATGTTGGTTATTTGCCTCCAAAGGAACTACATTTGCATGTCTGTGCATGTGTTCACATACATGTGTAAGATCTGAGCTACAGTAGTGACACTCTTGTTGAGAACAAGATGCACACTAAACTTCCTGAGGAATGGGCAACTCAGGTTGCCCAGAGAGGTGGTGGAGTCTCCTTCGCTGGAGATATTCAAAACCCGCCTGGACGCGATCCTGGGAAATATGCTCTAGAGGACCCTGCTTGAGCAGGGGGGGTTGGACTAGGTGATCTCCAGAGGTCCCTTCTAACCTCAACTATTCTGTGATTCTGTGATTCTGTGTAACTGAAACGTGCCTACTCTGAGCTATGCTATAAACCTCTAGGAGAATGGGAGGAAGGGGGAAAATCAGTTATGAACTAGCAGATCGATGTCTTAGATCAAATTTCCTTCATTTACAGATCTCTTCTTATCTTAAAATGGTTTAAAAACCATGCAGTGCAAAATCTACTTATTCTGTGGCTGTAATGCAGCCATCTCCTTGTTAGGTAGGCAGAAGGTTATGTTTAAAAGTGAATAGAAATGTTACAGCCATTATTTATTTTAAAAAGGAGAAACCTAAGCCCCTTCTGCTGATGTGGCCGCAGGAGTATTATACAGGCAATGGCTGGACCCCTGTGCAATCCTACTGCTGCAGCAATGTATGACAAAGGATAAGGCAAAATTAACGACAAGTTGATGAAGTGCAAATAGGAAGGCCATAGACCAACAAAGCTGCATGACAGTGTCCCACACGTGCTGAATCGGTGGGTTACCCCGATGACTATTCTCACCTTCATGCAGAACCAGACAGAAATGGGGAAGGTCATTATGACGAACAGGAAAGACAAGATGGTCAGAAGCCATTCGCAGATGCCTAGACCTGGAGACTTTACACCTAGGGAGAAATCCAACATGACTGTGTTAGGCGGAGTCTGCTCCCAAGGAACTGACGCACTGACACCTGCCTGCATAAAACAGCCTCTGTAGTGTCCTTTCCCTGGGCCTGGTGCATGTGTGAACCTCTCTGGAGCTATGTTAAAGAGTAGCCCCTGCCCCCTATGGCTGAGCTTTGCCAGGACAGACTGATATATTTTGTCTCTACTTTGCTGGCAAAAATTGATCTTGGGTCTCCGTGCTTCAATATAATGCCTTTACTAGAGCCTTTTGTTTGAAGACCTGAGGCTGCCAAGTAGTATCAAAAGGCTCGGATGGGCAGCTTGTTGGCCGGGTTGGGATCCCCGAAGCTTATCCAAAAGATAAGCCAGTGATGAAGAGAAAGATCATAAATAAGAGGTAGTTTTCAACACACTCAGCCTGAGGCACCCTTCTCTATTAGGGTACCTCAGGACCTTCTGGAGTAGGATTTTAGTCGCTTTCCGGCTCCCTGACGCAGCAGACCCAAGCCAGTGCTGCCACTGAAATCTCCCTGTGCTCTGCAGCAGTCACATCTCCAACAGGCTGTAGAGTGATTGGGGTGGTGAGCCCCAGATGAATGTTACCTTCTTTCTCTCCCCAAAACGTGTGAGCTGTCTTGCTCTGGCTGCCCTTTGTGATGCTCCTGCCTGAGGGAAAATCTGCAGGTATGGCATGAAAATGGATAGATTACTTCTGAGAGTAGCTAGACCTAGAGGTGGACCATGTTTTCCAGCAGTGAAGTTAGCATCCCTCCCATTTTGGATCACTTTTAGCCCTTCTGTTCCTGCCCCTTTGCCTTTGGGAGTTCTCTGCAGAGCCACCAGGGGCTGAGTGGGGTTTGAGATACCAGGGTCCTGCCCCATCACTAATTGCTCCACAGCGCTCTGGCATTCCTTTTATTGAGGCAAAAAGAGACAACCATAAAAAATTAGCTACCACAGAGACAGGAGCAAACTCGAACCTTTGTGTGACTCCAGGGCAGCAGAGCGGCTGATGCGGGAGAGGAAAAGTGATGCTGGCTCCTGTAACACACATCTGCCATGCCTGTGGTGATTTAGGGGCCAAGGAGGCCCAGCCATCTGCCAAAGGGCTTGTGACAGATCAAGTCAACAGCCAGCAAAGTGGAACCCTGTCCCCCAGAACCGGCCTTAACACTGTGCTAACTGACCGGCTTGGATGAGCAAGCCAAAGCCACAAAACCGATCTCGAGTAACGTCAGCTTTAAACGGAGGTAACTTTAGCCTGGCCTGGAGGCTTCCGCTTTCAGATGATTCTCAGACACTACGTGACCCTGCCTATCTCAGCCTCGGTTCCTCCTGCCAGGCGTCGACCTTCAGCATTCCAGCAATGCTCCATCCTATTGCGGCAGGCCAGGAGTCCGGCTAACACATGGCCTGGATAAGAGCTGCTCTCGAGGGATATCTGGAAGGGGAGCTCTGAGTGTAAGCCTCAAGCACTTCCCTACGGTGCAGTTCTTAGGGCTGTGGAGAAGCATTAAGGCTAACTCCTTCCACCTAAGGAAGGAGAAGCCGGAAGGAGATGAGAACAGACCACAGACAGAGCTGGGGAGCAGTAAGCTGAAGTATAAAGGGTGCTGGGGATGTTACTGCTTTTTGTAAAGTTTGTTGCTTTGCTAGAGAGCACTGATCTGCCTGTCCTGATTGCAGAAGCCAGCTGGGAGAGTTGGCATCGCCCAAGAAAAACTGCATGTCTGTGCAAGGTGGGTGTGAAGGCGCTCACCATGCAGACAGCAGAGTCATACTACTTGGACCCATGCTGCGTCCAAGAGCCCATACCTTTTCTGCCCTTTCCCTTCTATGAACCGTACCTTCCTCTTGCCGCTCGCTGTCCAGCAATGCCATCGCCTCCATTTCTTCATCAGATATCACATCATCCACATCCACCACTGTGGAGGTGTGCACCCTCCCATCTGTTCCTGCAGTGCTCTTGATCTCCTTTGCTTTCTCCTGCTTTATGTCTCCCCTTCCCTTGCTGGCTTCTCTGCCGCTCTCCCTCTTCTCTCGTTTGCTCTGCATAGCTTGGGACTCTCTGTTTCTCCTGTGAGAGTCCCTGGAGGAGCTCCGAGACCTCTTATCCATCTTCATCTGATTCTGTGAGCTGAGGAGCATGCAGCTGCCTGTGGCAGTAGGATGAATTTGTGCTTGAATTTATTGCTGCAGGCAGGAAAACTGGTCAGGGGAGGAGAGAAAGGGAGGTGTCAGATCTGGGAGGCCTGTTCCAAATTTATCATAGGCTTGTCACACATAGTGGACAGTAACGCAAGCAAGCTGTTTCCCAGCTGCTCTGCTCTCATTGCACACTGCTGGGGAGATGGGGAGGAAGGTTGGACTTGCACAGGGTCGACTCTAGGTGGATGTCCTTCGTGCATTTGCCTGGCTTTGGAAGAAAAACACAACCAAAAGCACTCAGATGATTTTTGGTAGATGGCTTCTGCAAAGCTTTTGAGAAGCAACCTGAAAATAACTGTCAGGCAGTTGGCTCAGAAGACCTCAAAGGGTGAGAATGACCCAGCACAATTAGCACCACGGTGAAAAACCTCCGCTGCCGCGACCGATTGCTAACTCAGCAATGCCTGGAGAGGTTGCTGCTAAGAACGACGGGGTGAGCAGCACCTCACACTGGCTCTGTTCCCTACAAACTCTTTGGCTGGCACAGCAGAGGGATATCGGCAGCAAACTCCACAGCAGGAGAGCGGCAATGCAAACACAGATACTGGTTGCTGCTCAAGACAGTCCTTTCACATCGCTGCTGTGTCAAGCTCTGCAGGGGCTCCAGAAAGAGCTGTGTTTTCAGTTCTTTCGGGAAAAGGCTGCCGTGCCGCTCAGACTGTGGTGAGATCTGTGCAAACGGCTGCCAAAAAAAAAAAAAACCCACTTTTAAAGTGTTATAGATCACACCAAATCACAGACCATACTGAAGAAATCAGCACCTGACTAGAAGTCAGTCGCACTACAGCTGCTGGAAAATCCACCTCGAATAACCCTGTGCGTTAAAGGAATAAAGTCCAGGGAACGCTTCCACCTTTCACCTTGGCCTCTCTGTCCTCTCCTGTGGCATTTCTCTGGGACAGCTGTCACAGCGGTGGGTGAAGAGCTGGGATTAGGCTTCCTGGGGGAAGGACGTGGGTCCTGTCTTCCCCGGGGAGAGGGGTCAGGCAGAGGGGAGGTAACAGGCGTTTTGGCTTCAGGGAGGCGCAAACTGCCCGTGCCATGGGGGACTGCAGCTGAGGAGGTGGTTTCGGGGCAAAGCAGACGTCAAGGCGTAGGAGCAGGACGTGGCTCCAAGGCCGGAGCGGTGACGCCCCTTTTAATTAGCTGAGCTCAGGGCTTCCTAGAGCTGCTCAGCCCCCGGCGGGGGACGAGCGGCCTGGAGGAGCGGCTGCAGGGAGAGGGGAGACGCCGGCCGTGTTTTCTCTTGGATTCCAGTTTTATTGGAGACCTTTGGCCTGCCCAAAGTCAGGATATTACCCGCAGGAGCGCCGGTTCGCAGCTTCCTCTGCTCCTTCGTGCTACGCGCCTCGTTAGCAGGTCACCAGGGAAGCGGTGAATGAATTGGGCTGACGGAAGATGAGAAACGTTGTGCGGAAATCGGGCGTAATTAATGAATTCATAGAGCGTCTCTATTTGCTTCAGGTGTTTCGGAGACCTTTAGTGCGTGCCTTGTTCACTTTGCGATTAACGCCGGGCCAGCGGGGGACAGGGAGACGCCGTTTCTGTCCCCTGAAAGCACCGGCAGGATTTTAAGCAGTAGGAAACAAGTTTGCCGGGTTTGGTTTCGGCCGGGCAGCGCTGACTCTGGCTGTGTTTCTTGTCAAAAGCGCTCGGCGGGTATTTAATACCTAGAAACTTGCAGCTTTCTGGTTTTGTCCAACGTTTCGTTCGGCTAACGGCTCCTGACTCCTCCGTCCCTGCGGGGTATCTGGTGTCTTTGCTGCCTCGGGACTGAGGAGATGCCCCAAGGGTGCTTGTTGACCCCCGTGCCGATGTATTTCTAATCCCTGCCATCCCTGAATCTGCCCCTTCAGCCCCAAAACTTGCCCAGTGCGGAAAACAACCAAGTAACTGAACACGTAAACCCGTAGGAAACAGCTACTGTAATTCAGTTTATTGCACCTAACCCCTCTTTGGCCTTGGGAAAGTCACACAGCGTCCCTGCTGGGGAATTTCCCCTCGGGGGGGGATTAAAAAAACCACAAGCGTATATCGTTAACGATGCCGAGGTTTGGGTTTCAGTCGCCTTGTCCTAAAGGGCTTTGCGCAGTCGGGGCGGGGCGCCGCCGCCTCAGGGCTGCC